TTAGACAAAAGCATCTAGTAGTCAATACAAATTTTTCAAAGTCAGCTCAAAGTCATGTTTTTTACAGTCATATATGTTATTTTAATGTTGTGTAATATTTTTTCGAGTATTGGAATAATTAATTTAATTATTTTATTTAAAAAAATTTTTGATTGATAACAATGAAAAACTTGAAAATATTGACAGGGTACGAAAAAAAATATCTACAACCATACTAATTGATTATATTTGCATACATCACTATAACTTTAAACTAAATAGGTATTTGAAGACTATTCTTATACCAATTGTACTTATATTTAATATTTACTTTGAAAATTTTTTTTTTATGTTATCTTTTGTCTTTGCTAATATAATATCTTTTGTGATTAGCAAATTCTTCAAAATGTCAGCAAATGATAGTATATTAGGAAATTCACATAAAATACTAGATGCACCATATAATTCTTGCATCATATTATTTGGCTGCTCTAGAGTCACATAAAACGGGTAAATTAAAGCCATCATTTTAGCAGTATTCTGAAAAATATTAGAGATTTTAAAATTTAGTACATCATATAAAAGCTGAACCACAACATTATATAAAATTTACTGAATGTATAGTCGCAGCATAACATTTTCCCATCACGGAATTGATAATTGTTTTTCGTTGATCTGCGTCACCATGTTTTAGCATATTTTTTAGACATGCATAAGCATACATAAAAAGTAAAATTATAGGTACATATTTCATATTCTCACTTATGATTTGCGGATAAATTACTGGAAGGCGTTGTTTCAACAGACATTGAACTGCACGAGCAGCATCGTGTATGAATATCATCTATATAAAACAGAAACAATTATTATAAGCACAGAATTATAATTAATAAAAACAACGGAAATTCTTACTGTTGCCAAATGAAGTTTGGAAAATTTAAAGAGTTTATTCAATAAAATATCTTTGTTTTCTTTAGGGCCATCAAGACACATCCTTTCCCAACGTTGTTTCGACATTAAAACAGTTTCATTAAATTTAAATTTATGTAGATTGGGCCAGTTTCGAAGCTCTTGTTTTTCTATCTTAAACTCTTTCCAAACATCTACAAATTAAATAAGACAATAAATATAAAAATTTTAAATTTATAAAAATTGAACTAAAATTTACCATTTGTAGAATTCGGTTTTGCTTTAATTTTCTTAAATAAATTCCTTTCATACTCAGTATGTGGTTTGTAACCTGACACAATAATTTTCAAACCATCAGTCAGTGATTTAGTACAATCGGTTTTTTTTTCGGTACCTAAAATTGGT